CCAAGAGCCGGGGTCTGTCGGAGGTTTCTTCCGTTAAAGGGAGTTTTTCCTCCCCACTGTCGCCAAGTGCTTGCTCAAGGGGGGTTTGTTGGGTTTTCCCTATGTAATAATATTGATAACAGTAAGGTCTAGACCTTACTTTGTAAAGTGTCCTGAGATGACTTTTGTTGTGATTTGGTGCTATACAAATAAAATTTGATTGGATAATTTTATATTCAGACACACTGCATGTTTAACAAGACGCCAGTAGGCTTCCATACTAGGTAATTTCTGCCTCAATTTGTCTCTAAACGATGTACTTGCTCTTGAGAGAAAATGTCACACTGAGGCTCACAACAGTAATTTGTTATGTAGCTAGAAATTTCTTTGTACTAAGTCCCAGTGTGGTCGGTTTTTGCCATACCTTCCCTGAGAGATGCCCGTGTCCCCTATTATGTAGTCTAGGGTGATGTAGCTGCCTGTCTGCACACGTTCTGCTGCGAGGAGGAAGGCCATGCCAGCTATGCTCTCCACAGTGTCACGTCGATCGTTCAGAATGAGTCGCTCCGTGCTGCAGCCACACTTGTCGCTGAACAGAAAACTGAAAGCTGTGTGAAGAGATAAGGAGCAGACGAGGATGAGAAACTGGAACAAGCACAGGGAAGGTGTGCAAGTCAAGGAGGCGGAGCAGACGAGGATCTATCAAGTTCAGAAGAGATTTGTTGAGTGCAGACACACACACACACACACACACACACACACACGTAAGTGGCCAAAGGGTGACACATGGGGGCGCCAAACCATAATCTTTAAGCTATACAAAGACCCAACTTCATATCTCCATACAATAAGGACCAGCAGCCTGATGTTCTATACTAATATTCCTATTCTACATGCATTTATTAAATAAAAAAAAAAATCTGGGCTTTGGACCATAAACCAAAGCGCGCGCACACACACACACGTTCATTCAACTATGCCATGCAATCTGAGATCAGGGAATGTGCATGTCTTTAGGGAAGTCTTAACAAGGGCACACCAATATAAGCCAGCCTAAAGGATGAACAGACAGTACTGTAGTTTAATGCACAGTCATGTAGCAGAAGATTTAATTAATGCCATACATTCAAGCTTATAGCCTCCAATAATGAAATATGCTTTTGTTCAGATATTCATACAATTGCTTTCTTAGACTTGGCAGCACCTGCAACAGAAATCTGCCCCAATGACACAAACTTTAAAGTCTTCAGTAGCCATGGGCTCAAGAGAGAGTTCAGGATGAGATTCCACCTCATCACTGATGCAAAAAACGGGTCACAGAAAAGTGGATGCTCTAATCACAATGCAAATGACAGCTTACACAGGACAAAGTACAGCCACATCAGATCAGAGTGATGCATCATGTATGTAACAAACTGGTAGTCACTTTTACATATCACTTTCAACACGGCACAGCAGTAACAGATAAGCACACACGCAAGATTTCAAGGTCTCATGGTTGTGGCAAATATCGCACATGTAGGGTCTCTGTCACAGGTAAATCTGAATGAAGCCATGAGGAACACTTGTGTAAAAGTGACCTCTGTCTGAACGACAAAGCTTTGGCTTCAAGTAACTGACTGAAGCCAGCCATGTCGCATATCCCATGTCTGAAGAGGGTTAAAGTGACACAGCCTCATAATGCAATGCAATTGGAATTCAAGTTCAGGAAATTCATTTTTAATGAATTCTACCTTGTGTCTGTCAGGCAAGCTTAAAGTGCCAGCAACAGATGCCACTGCGAGTCTTTCTTCCAAGCTGTTCACCACCATTCACTCCCACACACTATATTGGTATCAGCCATCTGAGAAACAAAAGCCATTATCATGGTGTTAAACTCAAAAAAAGCCTCACTGTGCTTCCATTACCTCCAGCATGTATGGTACAACAGAATTCTACATTTAAAAACCATCTACCTGTACAACCTCTCTAAAAAGCAAGGCCAATGCTCAACACGCAAACAGAAGTAAAGGGGATAGAGGAGCTTAGCTGTTCCCTTGGCCAAAAGAGGCCCAACAACAGGGGCTGGTTCTTTGATAGCCAAGAGCTTAAGCCCGCACATAATTACCATTTTGTGCATTAATTAATACACTTGGCATCAGCAACAATAATGGCTTGTATTTAATGAAGTCTTTCCAAAAAAAAAAATTATACACATCTCTCTGTGCAGTCCTCATGTTTGACAGCCTTTAAAAAGAAATCATTAACATTCCATCTTCAAGGACTAAACATCTTCACGCTGGCTCAACACATTTTTTTCCCCCCCCACACTTCCTTTTCTATTTATGGCCAAGTAAAAACAAAGAACCACCATTAATAGGGCAAAACGGTAAGCCATCTGGGAAACCTCACACCTCTCAGGCTTACCAGGTGCAGGTGGTGTGTGGAAGGTGACCTCAGGACTATAGGGGCTGAACATGGAGTTTCTGCAGCTTCTGACCCTGAAGGTGTACAGGCTGTCAGCGTCCAGGTCAAACACTACAGTGCTGGGACCATATACCCTGTCTGTAGCCCTCCAGACTCTGCTGTCCTCACCATCCTCCTGGGATGGAGACTGGCCTGGGCCTCCAAGTCTGGGGGAAAGATCATAGTTAAGTAATTGCTATATAGCTCGATCATCTTTGTGCGGTTATTTCTTTCTCTGTTTGCTCCCACCTTCTGTACTCAAGCACGTAGTGATCTGTAGGTAGGTGATCATCAGACAGCCTCCAGCAGATTGAGGCCTCATTATAGACTCTGCTCTGGGACAGGTCAATCAGGGGAGGGTCTGGAACTGGAGAGGAGCAAGAATGTGCATGAAGACAAGAAAACCAAGAGATAACACAGGTCATGCTCCAAATGACTTGGTAATTAAACGAGGTTAGCTTCTTTTAGCTGCCTGTGAATGGATCTAAAAATAGCATTTTTGGCAGGTATGTGGTATAAAGAGGACCTAAAACATTCTAGTCCTCAATTTGGCACCGTTGTGAAGTTTTAAACATGCTGCACATGACAGAGGTTAATAGTGAAAAACACCTTAATGGTGATTAGCAAACTACAAGATCTTAACCATAAACAAACTATGAACATTAGGAAATTCCAGTTAAATCCTTCCATCTTAAATCATGTCCAACACTGTACTTCAGTTTTAAGGGTGACAAAGATTAGATTCGTCAGGATCAGGACTGTCCACTCAAGACAATGGACAAGATTGTCTTGCATAATGGAGCCTGTTAATAGGTTTCACACAGATTCACTGCCAGGAACTGCACTTTGCAAGCACCCCACTACTTCCCTGTTCTGTTGTTCTTTCTCATCACATTCATCTTTATCCTCTGTTGGCGGTTCGAAGAATTCCCTGTAAAGCAGCAACCTGCCTAATTCTGAGTACATTTTTTTCCTCCAGAAACCCATTGCAACCATGTAGGTCACCGTCTCTTTATAAACACCATTCTCTTCCTCTAGTCCCCCATTCTCTTTCTTTCGCTTTTGACATTCTCAATCCCTCCAGTCTCTAAAGCAGTTTTCCCTATAGATGGATTTACCCTCGCTGACCTGCGTCACCACTGAGGATCTTTGAGCCTCCAGAGTTACTTAACTAATCCTCAAACGCTGAAGTCTTCTTCATGAGCTTTCATGTATAATTACCAGGGTGTAGCAATACATGATCCAATTCCATACAGGGTTTATAGTTTGATACTCACGATAGTGTCTTTGGTATGTAAATTCACAAAAACAGTTTTCAAACATTTTTCTTATTCAGACAGTTCCCTTATTCTGTATATTAGAATGTCACCAACTCTAGTGAACCACATCAACAAGTCTGTTAAGAAAATAGATCTGGTCTATTACTCCCCTCTTGTGTCAACATAAATTCAATGGGACTTAAAATGAGCCATTTCTCAGTTTCACAATGCATATCATCACCTTTGAGTCACAATATATTGTTCCATGATGCATTGTTACATTAATGTGACTTCCATTCAACTGCTGCATGCTGAACTCTCCAAAAAACATAAGCAGTGATCATAGGTCAGGATTAAATCTGCATTGGACAACGTGAACAATCCTCAATACCACTGTGGTGCCCATGCACATGGGCCTTAACCCTGGCGCTTCCAGTGGAGCTGCTCAGACTGGTTGTACTGGACAGCTTCCAGGTATGAATCTGTGTGGACCTTTGTGCAAACGCTCTCAAATCCACATTCAAGTGCTGAAAATTTCTTTTGGAAAATAAACAGAGCTTGTCAATTTTCCATCTCGCACTAAAATAAAACTGTACCTCCACCAAAGCACAGCTCTTTGAGCAAAGTTTCTTCTCGGGATGTGTCCAGCACAAACTCATCAAAGCAGGGGCCAGCTGCAGGGTGGAAGGTTCTCAGCGACTCTGTGGCTTTCTGGATCCTGAAGACATACAAGACAGATGTAACAACAAAATCATAAGTGTATAAATTCAATTACATGTTTATTATTGAGGTCATAGTTAAAGGTGGTGCTGTACTGGACTACATTATATTCAGAGGTGTTTCTATATTTTTGCCCTCCCCAGCTACATACATGAGAGGGTCAAACTATAATTTAGTGTTGCATTGAGGTGCATACAATTGCACGGGTGTGACTATTCATGGGTCCAGTAATCTCTACATACTGGCCTCTGGAAGCCATTTTACAGATAGCATTTTGTAGTGTATCCATGTTATTAAATATGGCTCTCAAAATCTTAAGTTTAAACATCCTCAAAATACCATTACATTAAACATAAAGTCCAAATGTTGTGATAGCGTAATTATGCTCAGCTGTACCTAACATGCAGCTGCTTTGCAGTCTGTACAAAGCAGGACTGGTCCGTCTCTTTCAGCACCTCTTGAGCGTAGCCCACTAGACCACTGTTCTCCAGCATGCCTTGGTACTCTTCCACCTAAAAGTGTTCATGGTTTATGGAAAGCACGTGTCAACTGTCACTTACAGCAAGAATGATGAGTAAAGAAGCATGCATAGACGCAGAGGACAGTAAACAGAAATTAGATTTAGTCCTAGTATTTCATACCTGGGCCTTGAGTTGCTCCAGGCGGCGGCCACGAGACTGTTCGATGGACCTCAACATCTCCGATTTCCTCTCCTGCAACGTCTCAAACAGACGCTCAAAGTGCTCGTTGGCTCGACGCTCTGCTAGTTGGCCATTTTCCTTTATGAAGGAGCAAAGAACTTTTTGTTTATACAAGAGCAAAGAATGTTCTCTTCACATATACATGATTTCACCTTTGTTTCTTCCCCTCACGGGACTATTGAGGAAACAGCAGTTAGGTACACTTTCACTTACTGCAACTCATAAAAGTTTTATTGCATTCACATTCATTTAGGCCCTGCATCAAACCAACCGACAAATCCAGTATATCCTTGTTCGCATGTTTGTTTAGTGACCTTCCTTTTTTGTACACAGAATGTGTCACAGTTCCATCAACAGACTGGTTCTGAGAAAGCTTTATAAATATTTGTCTTCTGTAAGAAAAGACCACTGTGCAGGATCCAACACATACTGTACATTTATTCAGCTCTCCAGAACTAACAACTGTATTCCCAAATGGTGCAATTTACCTTTTTAACATAGGAAAGACTTTGTCAATACAGCTCATAAGAATCCTCTTTGAGGAGGGGTCTAAAATTAGAAAGCAATTAAATGAGGGGGGGAAAAAAAAAGAATTTAAAAAAGGCCAGTGTTATTCATCTTCTTGTAAGGGGCTGCCACATTGGAGCACGTTTGGTACAGTGGTGTGTGTTTTTTGTTTTTTTTTTAAATTCCAGGTGCCCTTCTTGATGCAATCCTATGGGACAATTTAGAAACACCAATTAACCTAGCCTACATGTGTTTAGACTGTGGGAGGAAGCAGAGTATCCGGAGAAAACCCACATAGGCACAGGAAGAACAAGAACTCTACACAGAAATGCCCCAGGTTTTGAACCCAGAATCTTCTTCCTACGAGGCAGTGCCAACCACTGTGCCGCCCAATTTAAAACCAAACAATATATAATAAAATGGCTTCAAGATGGAGTTCTTTTGACTGGTGATTAATAAGTTAAATGCAATTAACCTGAACACTAAAGCACAATGTCATCCACTGGGAGAGAATGATGATGAAATGATAAAATAAAACTCTGCAGCACATGGTCTGGCATGAAGAAGAAAAAAAAAAAAAGGTTGCTGTGGATCTGCAGCAGCATGAGTCAGCTCTCTTACCTCAGTTTGATTGATGAGCTGCTCAATCTCAGTAATCTGAGTTCTGACTTGGTCCTCTTTACTGATGAGGTAATGGATACTCTTGGCCAGCTTCTCCTGGAGAGAGATTAGCAATATTTACAGTGAGTTCAAGTCTGAAGCACACATACATGGCTGACAAACATTTAATTTGCACAGCTAGGACTGGAGGGACATCTGGCCTTGATGCATAAATTTTCATGCAAAGTGTGCCATTTTAAGCAACAGCACAGATATATCCACTTCTTTTGATATGCTCACAATATTTCCAACTGCAGGTTACAACCTGAAGTATTTTCTGAAAAATCAAAAAGTTGTGGATTTGATGTGCAGCATGTCCTACAGGACAAATTCAGTGCAAGTGGCCTTTACAGCAGATGTAGGACATCACACGTGACTCATTACAGTAACATGACAGTGCATTACTGTACAAAGAAAGCGAAACTACCTCCTGACTAACAAAAGGTTTCTGTGGCATCCGATACAACTTTCAACAATTTGAAGATAAAAGCACACGACATCATGGGGAACAAAGGTCTCGTTAAATATTAAACAGTGTAAGAGATGGCACACAGAGGTCACACAGATTCTGCCTCAACTTGAGCCACATCAAGCCCACTGAGCCAAGTGTTCAGGCCAAAGACATTAAATCACTTTTACAAATTTCAGTTAAAGCGTTTGCAGTTCCTGCTGTTCTTATAGCAACCAAAAAAAAAAAAAATTATAATCCGTTGACATTTTCCCCACAGCAGCCCAAGCAAACACAAACTGAAGTGAATTTTAATGAGTGGCAACAGTATGATGGAACATATGGGAGGTAAATTAGTTTGAGACTGGGCAGATAGCCCGGGTTTCAGTTTTAAACTAAGTGAATGATAGCTACAGCTCAGTGCACGTGAGCACAGGTATACTGTAGGTGAGGCATTAATATTACAGCAGGAGCAGAGATTCAGGGTCCAGTCAGTGAAAGAAAAAAGCTTTTTTGTCAATTCATTTAGCTATGAGCTAACATTGTTCCCACACAACAGGAAGTATTACTCAAATTCAGGTTATTAAAATGCAATCTAAGTCTAATGACACTAAGCTGAATTGGTAAGAATCTCTCGTAGAAATCCTTATCTTTATTTTATACAAGAGATTGTTTCATCATGAGGACAAAGCCTTGTAATCCCAAGCTCCAAGGCTTTGTTTTTAAGCCCATGTCAACAGCGGCATTGTATTCAAGCTCAGTTTTGTTACTCAGTCATCACAGATAACAAAAACAAAGTGTAAAGTGCATGCAACCGACATAAATCAGCACCTTTGGCCCAACTACCAGTTGATGTACCTTGAGAATCTTATAGGCATTGCTCATGGAGGTTACTTTATGGTTGGCGTGGGATCCTCCCAGCTTGCATAGGTGACACACAGGTCGTCTGCAGACCTCACAGTACATGTTCACCTTCTCCATTTCATGCTCCGGACACATGAGCACCTGCAATATTTAGTACAGATTACAGATAGTACAGATTAGTGCACACTGATTTTACACTACAGTGCTCAAAGACTAGGTGGAGTGACTGACTTGTTCCCCGTGAACCACTTGCTGAGGTCAGCAAATTTTTAACTCAAGATCTCTGTCACAAGTAATGTGAGACTACAATGTCGTGTTCTGATCAGCAAAGGGACTGAAAGAGCAATAACAGAGGTTACAGTAATTATAGAAACTGGAACGCG